TGTCTAAAAAGGCTATCGCCGACTTCGGCTCGTGAATAGACTATTAGCATCCGCTGGAGCCTCACAACACGGCTCAATATAGAAGCTAATTGCAGCAGGAAACAGTGTATTTATAGGCTGAAGTGCTCAGCCATGCACTCAACACAACATGCAGACATACGATACGGCCATGTGATGTGATGTGATGGCGTCGGGGCGGACATGTGCAGCTGAGAGTGTGCATGTGTGCAGCCATACATCGGCCTAATAACGTCAGATTATTATTATTTTTTTCCTGCAGGTCGCAGCATCTGGAAGTCTGCCTCCTGTCAGCGAGTGGATTGAACTTAGAAAACACCCACAGTGGATGTGACAAACAAACCTCTGCCTGTTAATTCAGGGCTGTCACCGTCCCAACACAGCAGTTTGCATAGTCTCTGATTTAAATCCCTGAGGAGGAGAGAAAATATATACATAGACTAAGACTCGTGACACGGCTGCTAGCAGAGTGTTAGCCTAGCTTAGGAAAAAAATAAAAAAAGCAGAAACTGTTGGATTAAAACAAGTCCATGACAAAGTCAGAGCGGCGATAATGAAGGAACATCACGCCTGAAGAATTTAAACCAATCACAGCAGCCGTTTGGCGAGGGTGTGGCACACCACAGACCAGGACCATTAAATTGACAACGCCCCACGGTTTGATCATTCAATAATAAACCAAAACCAAATAAAAAAAACATACTTTTAAAAGCCGAAATAATGAGTAAAACATCACTTTTTTTTTATCTAAGCAAAAAGAACGCTGCTGCAGAAAACCATATGCCTGACAATGCTGGGTGATTCGAGCACACACAGATGGTTGTCATGTTACCGACCAAGTATGAATTAAGCCAAAAAATAACACAACATAAAAAATCTGCTTGTGTAATCACCCTGATTCAGACTAATTTGTTTCTGTCATATCCTGGCCGGTTGCTGTCACCAGCACAGATCGGTAACTCGTCAAAAGCTGATTAACACGTCCATCCTCCTGCTCCTCCTGCTGAGAACGTGGAGCTGTGTGCCTGTCAGGATTACTGAAGTGTGAACGGAGGAGTGAGGCATCCAGACACCGGAGACTCGGAATTATTTCTCCCTCCTGTCAGCGGCTGCCTCCGTCAGAGCCAAACCTCCAGTTGGGTTTTACATTTTTTAAATAAATTATTATAATTAAGTACTATAAACCACTCTGGTGTTACTGTGAAAACTGGGGGGTGAATACTACGAAGTAAGTGAAGGGATATTAATCAAGATTAATCCACATTAACACATATGACAAATCAAATGACGTGTTTCTAGATATTCACTTAAACTAAAAATATAACAGTGACCTGTAGAACACGTTGTTGCTTCTAGCAATGACTCTAACCCCAAGTTGAACCCTTCGTGAAAACACACTGTGAGAATTGTTTCATTTTAAGCTTGAGATAACGGGGTGAAACCAAAACTATTCCCCCGTGTGTGTAAACAACATAAATCACCTGATTAATAACGGTGGACGATGGAATTACTGGATATAAAGTGCATTACGAGTTAAATTTTTAATCAAACTGAACAAATTTTACATGCTTAATGTGTTCATTTGTTCAGCCCCACTCTTTATTTACACTAATTAATTTTCACTTTTGGACTAAATGTTGCCTCCAGGTGGCGTCTTTTGGCAGCCAGGCGAGCTCCAAAAATACTCCTGTGAACACGAAATGAGCCGCACTTTGAGCCACAGACCCAAGTAGACAAACTGTGAACGAGTCTGTAGATGTGTGTGTGTGTGTGTGTGTGTGTGTGCAGGAGGCTGGTCTCGTGCAGCCGTTGTGCGATGGTAAACTGGAGCTCGCGTGATAGGTCCTGACAGCAGCACAGTCCTCGCCGTGAGCACAAACTGCCTGCATTATGTAAGTAAGGCCCACTCCACCACCGCTGCCGCCCTGTCACTGCCATTTACATTCATGAGAATCACAGGAAATCACGCCCCCAAACAACTGTTCGCCGCAGAAACCCGGGCCAGAGACGGGTCAACCCAGGAGCTGGGTGAAGGTCGAGGGGGCAGCGGTGAAGAAATCGGCCTAAAGACCAGACGCAGCAGATGAAGTGAGTGTCAGGTAGAGAACGGCGCCGCGTCTTCACACCTGTGGGGCTGTGCTGACATTTCCACACCTGTTCATAAACACCTCCGCCCTCCCTCTGAAGACGACGGCAGCAGAGTATTTATAGCTCGGTGGAGGGAGCCGGCTGTGCAGATGCAGAGGTCGTCACGTCTCACTCTCATGATGATCCAAACATGATGCTGACGGAGTGTTGATTCGTTAGATCGGGATGTGCTGAGATCAGCTATATTAGGCAGCCTGTGTGTGTGTGTGTGTGGTGTGTCTGTGTGTATATAACAGAGATCAGTGCTTTTTTGATGATGTGTGCACCTGACAGAAAACAGCAAACACACACACACACAAATATATAAACATATATACACATATATATACATATATACAGTACATACGTATATATATACATACGTACTGTATATAAGTATATGTATATATATGTGTGTGTGTGTGTGTGTGTGTGTGTATATATATATAGTTACATACATATACACATATACATACATGTATACATATATATAAATATATATTTATACATGTATGCATATATACATACATACTGTATATACATGTACATACATAAATATATATTTGTACATGTATACATTTATATCAAAATCCATTCAACAAAACAAGTGCTCCTTTATTTATAAATATATATTTATACATGTATACATTTATATCAACATCCGTTCAACAAAACAAGTGCTCCTTTATTAGGAATACTACGGCTTGAGCTGATCTCTGTAACAACTACTTTAAGGTGTAACTGTGTATTAGTCGGGATGATTAGCTGCGGTGCTAGGCTAACGTTTGAGAGCTAACGCTGTGCTGATATGAACGAGGTCACGACGCCAACGGTGGTTTCTAACGTCAGGAGAAGTTCAATGTCAGAGCAGCATCGTGGGGTGAACAAGGTCAAGGTCTGGGGGTCACACGCAGCCCTGGTGGTAAAGTGAAACCTTGATAATAAAACCCCAGGTGTGTGTGTGTGTGTGTGTGTGTGTCACACACACGTATCCACACACAGTTCTGATGGAATGATTTATTCATAATTATGATAGCATAATAAAACAATTAACATTGAAAGCACTGACAGTCGAGTCCAAGGCCTCTCACACACTGCATGCACCACCCTGACCCCAGCATTCCCAGAGACACTGAAGATTCCCAACGTCAGGAGACTCCTCTTTCCTTAAAGTCCTCCGTTTGATCCTCGGTCTCAGTCAGGTTTTTACTCCTTCCTTCTTTCTTTCTTTCTTTTTTTTATTCCTTTAAATATATTTTGATATAAAAACAAGCCCACATATAATGAATTGACCATGTTTGTGAACTGACTCCTCCCCTTCTCCTCCTGTTATTGTCCTTGTCCACTGCTCCTCAGGGCTGTCGTCGTTACAGAACTGTGACCTCTCTCCCTTGCTGGGCGTACTCTCTCTTTTTTTTTGGATTTTTTTTTTCAAAACAAAAAACAAACAAAACAAAAAAAGGATGGCGAACTGTCGCAGGTGGGAAAGACGGCACAAAAAAAAAAAAAGTTTGATAACCTCCCTTAAAAAAATGTAATTAAAGCAATTTAAAAAAAGGCTTTTAAAAAAGTAATTAAAAAACAAACCACAACGGTTCGAGTTGAACCAAGTGCTGGAGGGAACTCTGAAGACTGGAGGCACTTTGGCACAGAGCGAAGGCCCCACACCTGACACCACGTCCATGAAACGGAGAGGATGGAAGGAAATCGGGGGGAGGAGAGAGGGGGGGGCAAGGGAGAAGAACTCAAGGAAGGATGGAATGACAGAGAGCTCGACTAGAAGTAACGCAGGGCAACGTGGGGAAAAATGGGGAAAACCTGGAATGAAGGAGGTGCAGAGGCATGAAGAAGAAGAAGCACCTGATAATCATGGAGGAAAAGACCAGCCTCCCCTCCACTTAATGGTATGTTCAGGAGAGGAGGAGAAGGAGGAGGAGGAGGAGGAGGAGGGAAGCATAAATTAGAAGGAAACGCAAATCTTTCTGACGGGCAGAGGAGAATTTGGACCAAGTAGAAGAGACGGCGAGTGTGTACAAGGAGCAAGAGAGAGAGCAGCGGCAGGTGAAGGAGGAGGGAAGGTCAGTGGTCCGTCGAGAGAAACAGGAAACTGTCTGGCAAAAAGCTATACATCACAAACAGGAAACAGTCCTTATATGGAAGCAGAGGGCGGCCGCTGGACGTACGAGGTTGGAGAAGAAGAGCACAGTGCAGCAGTCCCACAGGTCAGTAGGCTGGGGGGGTCGGTGGGGGGTGGGAGGAAGACACAGTGGTCCCTCTTCTCCTCCACCTTCCACCTTTGCAGCTGCGCTCACCTGCGTGTCGCTCCACCCTCCTCTCGTCAAGGAACTAAAAACCTCCCCTCTTCCGCTCCACCTCCTCACAAGTAGAGCTCCTTGGCTCGGATGTGCTGCAGCTTCTCCCTCAGCATGCGGAAGGAGGGCCGCAGCACGGAGTCCAGGGTCCAGCACTGCTTCATCAGGTCGTAGACCACAGGCGGGCAGCCGTCCGGGGCGTCCATCTTGTAGCCTTTCTCCACCCGTGGCACCACTTCCTTCAGCGGCTGAGGCACAGAAACAGAGGAACGTTCACTGCCGACTCACGACACCCCAGGTAAAGGTCATCAATCACAGGGAAATCAGCAAATGTGTAAAAAGAGGTGAAGCATGAAAAAAATCATTCTAATCACAATGTAAAGAACATGCAGAGTTCCACGTTCCTTCTTGTTCTCCAGCATTCAAAGGGCAACATGACAGACATTCAGGGACAGAATCTCAGAACAACAACAACAACAACAATTATAATAACAAAGGAACAGTCCTTATATGGAAGCGGGGGGCGGCCGCTGGACGTACGAGGTTAGAGAAGAAGAGCACAGTGCAGCAGTCCCACAGGTCAGTAGGCTGGGGGGGGTCGGTGGGGGGTGGTAGGAAGACACCGTGGTCCCTCTTCTCCTCCACCTTCCACCTTTGCAGCTGCGCTCACCTGCGTGTCGCTCCACCCTCCTCTCGTCAAGGAACTAAAAACCTCCCCTCTTCCGCTCCACCTCCTCACAAGTAGAGCTCCTTGGCTCGGATGTGCTGCAGCTTCTCCCTCAGCATGCGGAAGGAGGGCCGCAGCACGGAGTCCAGGGTCCAGCACTGCTTCATCAGGTCGTAGACCACAGGCGGGCAGCCGTCCGGGGCGTCCATCTTGTAGCCTTTCTCCACCCGTGGCACCACTTCCTTCAGCGGCTGAGGCACAGAAACAGAGGAACGTTCACTGCCGACTCACGACACCCCAGGTAAAGGTCATCAATCACAGGGAAATCAGCAAATGTGTAAAAAGAGGTGAAGCATGAAAAAAATCATTCTAATCACAATGTAAAGAACATGCAGAGTTCCACGTTCCTTCTTGTTCTCCAGCATTCAAAGGGCAACATGTCGAATTAAATACAGGGACAGAATCTCAGAACAACAGCAACAACAACAATTATAATTGTTCTCCAGCATTCAAAGGGCAACATGACAGACATTCAGGGACAGAATCTCAGAACAACAACAACAACAACAACAACAACAACAATTATAATAACAAAGGAACGAAGCCTGCCACCTGCTGGTGCACATACATGATCAGTAATCCACAGATATCTTGACATATTAAAGTACTTCAAGTACTCACAATTCTAGGGTAAGGCACACGCCCAAAGGAGTAGATCTCCCAAAGTAAGATCCCATAACTCCAAACGTCTGATTTGGTAGAAAACCTCTGTTGGAGCAGAAGAAGAAGAAGAAGAAGAGGAGGAAGAAGAGTAAGTAAGGGTTGTCCTTACCAATATGACCAGTAGTATTTTCATTTGTGATACACAGCAGTAGTGACAATACTTTTATGGGTTAGATTTTGAAAAATATGCACTGAACTGGAGGGCAGTGTTATGTACGGGAGGAAACCAAGCAAGAAAATTTCATCAGTTTTATTTAAAAAAAACCAAAATATTCTGTATGAAACCAAAAGTCTTCAAACTGACAGTGACGTCACAGACAATATAATAATAAAACTAAGGATAAAATAAATATGTAAAAATATAAAGAGGAAAACAATTTCTTTTGCATAGTTAAACACAACCAGCTGAACAGAAAGTGATTTTAGAGCAATAATTCATTTCAATAAAAACACTGTCTTGTGTTTTACAGTGAAGTGTCTTTAACCTGAGAACCACGGTGTCACTGTTTCAATAACTTTCTGATGTGAACTCATCTCTGAACTCTGCTGTTAAACAGAGAACAGACTTTAGTGTTTTGGTAAATTGTTTGTATAAAAGAATCTTAGAGAAAGCAAGGTACAAAGGCTGAAGCCCCCGTCCCCGTCCTTGTCCCTATACTATTCCTTCTGTCTCTACACACTGTCCCCGTCTCACCTTCTCTCTCAGTGCCTCAGGCGAGGTCCATTTGACGGGCAGCTTGGCGGTGTCCTGTATGGAGGACGCCTCTTTGGTCAGACCAAAGTCGCTGACTTTAGCGATGTTGTCGTCGGACACCAGCACGTTTCGAGCTGCCAGGTCCCTGTGGACGAAGTTGTTGGCTTCCAGATACTCCATGGCTTCACACACGTCACTGTCAGAGAGAAAAGAGGGTCGGGACGGATGAGGACAGAGGGAGTGAGACAAGTGGACGGAGCGTGGTTAAAAACAGTCCATCTGCAAATTCATTCTCCCAGTTAGCTCCAAGACGGGCGTCTCAGTGAACGCACAAAGAATAACAATGGCTCTGATTGCCATTGTATGATCACGTGTCAACAAAACTGTCAGTCAGTGACGCACACGCAGATTTAGACGCACGGTGAAAGACGGCGGTGACTCACTTTAACTTGAACGCGTCACATTTGCTGAATTAAAAATCAATAAAAGCGACACTTTGAGCCCCTCGACTTAAGGACGTTGCAGCTGGTTATTGAGGCAAACAAGCGGCACGCTGATTGCCTGTATGAACAAATGGACGTCTTTATGTCTCCAGACGAGTGTGTTGACACTGTTGCTATAAAAATGCATCTAAATCCCCTCGAATAAAGAGCCGCGGAGATGGTGCACGGCTGATTGAACATCTGGTATTTGTACGGGGCTCAAACGGTGATGAAGATGACTCACAGGGAGAACTTGAGGAGGCAGTCTCCGCCCAGCACCGTCCGTCCTCGAGAACGCAGATAGTCCACCAGGCTGCCCTGTGGCACAGGTCAGAAAACAGGAGTTTAAAAAAAAGGAGGAGGAGATATTTTTGTGTTTTATTTATTTTTGTTTTGAAAAAAACTATTACCTTAAACTAATATATTTTTCTACTGAATGATGTTGATACATATACATATACATTTCTCTCAGACAAAATGAAGCCACCCACCTTGGCCATATACTCTGTGACGATGTAAAGACTCCCCCGCTCCTCAACAATCACCCCCAGCAGCTGCACCAGGTTGTTGTGCCTCAGTTGTCTGCACACAAACACAAACAGAAACCTGTGGATCATCTGCAGGAGGACGCTCAGGGAGAGGCAGTGTCAGAGGACAAAAAGACAATGACAGAAGACACTGTGTTTCACACAGAGACAGCTTTATTTATTGGGACGCAGCGAAGGACGACAGAGAAACTTACGTCATAACTGAGGCTTCTGCGATGAAAGCCTGCGCCGTGGCGTCGTTTTTGATACACTTGACCGCCACCTTGGTCCCTCTGTAGTCTCCCACAGGTCAGAAAACAGGAGTTTAACACAGGGTCAGGTCTCAGGTTGGTCTGATGTGTTCTTTTTTTTCACCGCCAACTTTGATCTTAATCTTAGTCCTTAGACTAAATCATACCTTAGTTTTATAGAACTAGAATTAGAACTGATTAAATTAGGCCGAGGAAATGAACGTCCTGGACGTGTGACACTGAAGTAATGTGGTTAACCACAAAAAAAAAAAAAAATCTTACCTCCAAACTCCCCTTTGCCAATGATCTGGATCAATTTCAGCTCCTTCCTGTTCAAGGCCCAGCCGCCTGGGGGGTGGGGGGATGACAGCAGAACATGAACCTCAGTAACCTCATTAACACCAATACTACACCGACAAATACCTCCACGACTCATTAATGCTATTAGGACTGACATGATGATGATGATGATGATGATGATGATGAAGCTCTATTAGAAAGGCAGTGAATGCACATTTCCAAACACTGCGTGTGCGTGTAACTGTATATGACACGGTTGTGAGACGAACACAAGGCGCCGCGTTTGCGCCCGTGTTACTGTAGAGGGGTGTAATGAGCTCTTACTCCTGGAGAACTCGTCCTGCGCCGCCACCGTTCCCTCCATCAGTTTGGGTTTGATCAGCCGGGTGCAGAGGCCGTCAGCGTCTTTGGTGTAATGCTGCAGAGGAAGAGGAGGAGGGAAACAAACAGATGAAGAATTAAAAAGAAAAAAAACCCAAAAACCTATATTTTGGGATGCATACATTTTGGTTTCGTTGACAATAAAGTAACGAAGTCTAGACGTTTTATACATGTCTGGAACAGAGAAGTGTTGCTGAAGCTATAAATAGTTTATAAAAAGTGAAGTGAAAGAGAAAATAAAAACCGTATCCACCACAGGATGTCTGAGTACAGTATGGACGCAGTACACACATTCACCAGAATAAAGAAGGACATAAATATCCAACACAGTCACATGCTTTCAAAAGACGGACGTAACACAAAAAGAAGACAGTTTCGTTGTCAATCACTGAAAAAAAAAAGAGCATTTTTAGGCTGACTGATAAAAACTGACTGAAAAAGTATATTTTATATTAGTATATTTTCCAGATAACCAGCTAAACAGAAGTCTTTAAATCCTATAAATTGGGATTCAAACCATTTTTCTTTGACAGTTAAAGTGTCATCCTGGATTTAAGTGTTAAAGTTAATTCCACGCCACTTTGGGGTTTACTTTGGGGAACCTTCACTGTGGGAACCAGCAGCAGGAAGTGTGTGTGTGGGTGTGAGAGAGGCCAGTGTATTTGACCTTTCACCCCTAGAATCTAGAAGAATCTAAACAAAACCAAAATCAATACTTTCACAGGCTAACATTACACAGGCCTGTAGACAGAATGAGATCAATTTATCACCATCTCATAATTATTTCAGTAAAAAACATAAAATGAATCATAAACCTTTACAGATTTTACAGATAGATTTTTATAGACTTATAGTGATTAACGAAATGTGTTTTGGACCCGAGGATGACTTTAAAGAACCTCAATGTTTGCAGCTGGGTGTAAGTTACTTCAATAGCCACCAGGGAGCAGCATGGTGACAATTTATCATTTATCGGCGCTGAGTCTGACAAATGAAACAAAACATATCAAATAAAAACTAAAACTAAAAAACGTTCTCAGCGCTTTTCAACGGTGAAAAAAATAAATGTATTTTTCTATGAGTTTAATTTAATGCATAATAATTATAAATTATAGATGCATATTTCAAAGGTGAAGATTAAATTATTCATATATGTAGAGGAGTGTAATCACGTGTGTATAACGTTACAAACGTCAGACCAAAACATTCACTTTTCCAGTGGGAAGTCGTCACACACTATATATATATGTATAAATATATGTGCGTGGTGTGTGTGTGTGTGTGTGTGTGTGTGTGTATGGAGACTGAAGCCTGTGGTGGAGCAGTAGAAGAGCGAACAAGCCAGAAAAAGACACAAGAATGTGAGGAATCCTTTCCTAAGCTATGAGAGAGAGAGAAAGAAGGGGGTGAGGCAGAGAGGGCCGGGGGGGGCAGACACAGAGAGAGAGAGTAGTTACAATATGCCAGTTATACAGGACTACAGGCAAAAGAAAGGAACAAGGAAAAGAAACAAGGAGGATGGATGGTTGAGGAAGGAAGTGAAGGCAGATCTGTTCCTCAGGGCTGAGAGAGGGAGGGAGGAGAGAGAGAGAGAGGGAGGGATAAGAAGGGAGAGTGAGATTGATGGGTGGCTGGAGATAAGAAGAATGCAGCAGGCATGTGGATGCTCTTGTTGCCAGTTGGCACTTTGTGCCAGATCTACTTCCAACTCCCTCAGAGGCCCAGAGATGAGGTCCAATTAAAAGTGTGACGGCTGCCAATACAGCTCATCTCTTAATCTGAGAGGACGACCCTCTACCCTCCCACCGTGTGTGTCCCCCCCCCCCAGAGCCCTTCGCTGTGATATCCCAACTACATGTCCCCTCCTGCCCCACTCCCGTACTGTGCCAATCAACTTTCAGATAACAGAGAGGGACAGGATCAGAGAGAGTGATGAAAAAACAAACAAAACAAAACAAAAAAAAACTGAACATGAACTTGGACGTCATGTAATAAGACTACAGTAACAGTGAAGGATTCTCTACACACACATGGGTGTAAATATGAGGGTGAAGGTTCCAAGACAAAGTCAGCACCAGTTCTGCTTCTTTGGCTCATTAACAATAATTTAAGTTTTTAGTTTCTGATAAAGTTTTTTATTTATTTTAAGTCTGATCTTGCTTTTGATCATTTTGTTGTGTTGGAAAAAAAAACTTTTCACATGTGAGCCACTCTTCAGTGGACTACAGCTGCTGTGTACTGAACATGCCTGCAGGTGGCGCCCTCACCTCCACCAGCTGCATGAGATTCTCAAAGTACTCCTCCTCGTCAATGGTCAGTTTTCCGTTGTGGTAGATGATACGGTAGTGCTCCACCTTGCCGTCGCAGCTGACGCACAAGGTGTAATCTCCAGGATAGTTGGTGCTCTCCCTCACCAGGAACAGGCCCGTCTCCGGGGGGTTCAGGAGCCGCTCCGCCTGCTCTCGGGTTATTTTCCCGTGAAACCACCTGCGGAGGCAGCGAGGGGAGGAAAAAAAAAAAAAAAAAACAACCAAGTCTTAGAACATTTTTTTTTGAAAAACTTTCTTTTGAAATAATTTGAGAAAAAAAAAGTTTTGAAAAAAAAAAATTTTAGGAATTTTTTTTAAAGAATTTGAGAAAAAAAGTTTTCAAAAAAAATTTTTTTTTGAAAATTTTTTGAAGAAATTTCTTCTTAAAAACAATGTTTTGAAGGATTTCTTGAAAACAAATTTTCATATAAATTTTAGAATTTTTTTTCAAAAACCGTCTTAGAAAATTTTTTTTTTAAATAATTTGAGAAAAAAAAAGTTTTAGGAAAAAATGTATTGTTGACAATTCTGATCACAAACATTGATGATTATTCCTAATATTTCCACAGATGCACAGTGACTATTTAGATTTTTTGTTTTTTTTGTTTTACACTTGTAAAGGTAGAAATTCTTGTCCTAAAACAATGACCAAACCACAGATCAGAATGATGACGTCACTTCTGTTCATCTGCTGTGTACCTGTACTAAGAATAACGCACCATGTATCCCATCAATCTTTGTCACCGCTGGTATGAGATGCTGCCCACAGGCTCCGTGGAGCCCTCCATCCTGGCTGCTGGATGCTTCTACAGTGGGAGCCTTGTGGAAGAGCAGCTTAATATGGCCAGAGTTGATTAGATCAGTGCAGAGAGCTTCCGCGCCGGACGGCAGCTCTTTAGCCCTAACTGATGGTGGGGAGAAAGTGCCGATAATGATTGGTTGGCCCAGAGATGCGCATTATTCTGAGAGGACACAGTGGTGCTTCAGTTCCTGGAAATGTCTGGAAGTTTTGAGGAATCAGATCACACTGAAAAAATGTGGTAAACAACTTGGTGGAGACAACAACGGAAGAGGAAGTAGGACAGCATGCCTTGAGCATCACAGCTCTCTGGGGTCGTGCAGGCGGAATCTGATGGGGATGTCTGCCACACGGGGGCAGCAGAGAGCCAGACAGGCTGCTGGAAACAAGGGAGGTTGGGATTTGCATGGAGCTATGAGTATCAGTCAGTCGAGTGCAGGCATTGGGACAAAAGGCCACAACGGAACCCTTATGTGACCCAAGGGAGAGGGCGAGGTCTCTCCTGTGACATCTGTTAGTTGTTTACAACAAAAAGAAACAATTGCCCCGGGGGTACGGTAGATGCCACCACAGGAACAATATAAAATGTCACTACGCTGCCAGGGGAAGTAACGCTGGCATTAGTGTTTTCAGGAAGCAGTTCTAAACATACGTTTAGCTTAAAGGTCAGAGCAGCGTGACCTGTAATCAGTGGATTTTGGAGTCAAAACAAACAAACAAACAAGACCGAACTAAGACGGTATTTTTTTTAACAGATGGATTTACTGACATTTTACGCTGAACGAATGATTATTAATTGTGTAACCCAAACCTGATATCATGATATACCGGGGACCTGACGTCTTGGTTTATGAACGAATGATTATTAATTGTGTAACCAAAACCTGATATCATGATATACATCTTAGTTTAAACCAACAGGTCACAACCAACATTTTTTGGACGGATACCGCCACCTACTGCACTGGAGTGTGTAGTCTCATGCGTTGACCCCTGACTTTTTGAGATAACGTAGCTGACTCCTTATGCCTTAATGTGTGATTCATTTTTTTATTTCAACTTATTCAAATTGTCAGGCATCATGAATTGATTGTAAACTGATTTATGAGGCGTTGCTGGTTCTTAAATTCGCACATTTTCGTTTTAAGCTCTAATTTCCCCATTCAGTGTTGTCAGTAAATGTAACTGCTTTGATTCAAATCTGACTTCCTTTTTTTTTTTTAAAGTACCCATAAACTCTTAACACCTTTATTAATAAAGTGTGAAATGTAACAGCTGCCTTTTTGCTGCTGGACTTTCTGTTTCACTTCATTTGCATCAAAACTTTGTTTTACATTTTTATTTCCTCCTTCTTTGAAAGAGCAGCAAAGTCAAAGCTACAACACGGTGCACACAGCTGCTGCGGTGCCGCGTGACGGTCAGGTGTCATGGAGTTCAGGCACAGTAAAAAGACAAAGACCACAAGAGATGGAAGTCCCCCTTTGGAGAAATGTGGTCCAAACTACAGGCCAAAACGTTTTGTCTTGATGTACGTCAATTTAAACATTCACACGAATGTCAGAAAACGCATCACGACATGTATCGATACAGCGACTGTGAATCTTTGTGAACTTACGGCATAAGACTGAGTTTCCCTCCCGACTTGACTCCTTCTCTTTTCTGGACATAGTTAGCCGGGATGGTGCCCTCTTTGCCCACCGCGTTCTTCGCCTTGTACCAGTTCGGATCCTGGAATAGAAAATGCACGACAGCGCAGCCTTGAGTTGTACGCTGTAATTTGAGCGTAAATCAAAGTCATTATGAGGAGAAAAAAACCTCAAGGTCGTAACGCAGAGATAAGACAGCGGTGTTAGAAACCAAGGTCGTAACGCAGAGATAAGACAGCGGCGTTAGAAACCAGCGGTCGTCTCCAGACGACATCAGATCCGTGCAGTGCGTGAGCTGCTGCAAACACTGGTGGCTGATGCATTAAAGCAGCGCTGGAGTCAGAGTGCCTCCAGCTAGAAAGGAACCCCACTGAGTGCTGCCACAGAGTCATTTATCACGCGGCTATCCCTGCGTTTCAACCGGGCCACTCTGATTGTTAGCCGCTGACTGCTGAGATATTTATTAGACAGCCAGCGTTGGGGGGTTAGACGGTAATTTTCTTCTAGAAAGCCACTTTGGTTTAAGTTGCTAAAGAGATCAATCAACCTGATGATTGAGCTAATAACTGAATCTGCTCAATGACGGACCTGTTCGCCAAAACTGCTCCATTTCAGCTTTTACTCTGGACGTGAAGATTGATATTATTACACAAGCTTCTGAGACAAATTTAGTCGTTCTGATCTTTTAACTGGATTGTGCAAATTAATTTCAGCAGAATTGTAATTAGTAATATACAATATCAGAGTCTTTGATGGATGAACCCCCTTCGTCTCATCCCATTTAAAAAAAAATCAGAGCCCTCACCCTGGTGACTCCGATGATGGTCAGTACGTCTCCTTTACAGAAGGGCAGGTCCTGGTCATTGGCCGTCTGGAAGTTGTATTTGGCTACACACTCTGTGCCAGATGACCACGGTGCCTGTGTTCACCAGGACAAAGAGAACAATCTGTTAATGACAGAGACAACCTGGGGGGGGCAAGAAAAAGATGGCCGAACAACGACTGTGGATAGAAGTAGATCCAGAGTCCTGAGGAAGAGTCTTTAAAAAAAAGTTGAAGAAAACTCCAATGTCTGACGTGGAAATAATGGTCCTGAGGAAGAGTCTTTAAAAAAAAAAGGGAGTTGAAGAAAACTCCAATGTCTGATGTGGAAATAACGTATGAATTATTACTTTTTGTTGTATATATTTTGTATGTCATTTTCACTCTGTTATAAACCCAAACAGCAGAGCCGTTGAGGCTCAGTGCAGATGAACAGTATGATGGAGCTGTGTGCTGCTGCTGCTGGATCAAATCTGCCAAAACACAAGTACGACATTCATTTTCCTGACATTACTGAGTTCATTCTGGAGTTCATGATTGAGAGCCTCGGCCACTGCTGACTCAGATGGTTTGGAGATACAAAGAAACCTGGTTTCTACACAGTTATTCATTTCCACTTGTGGTCACTTGAACTCCATAAGAAAACACTGGGGGTTTTTTTTTTCCCCGAAAGAATCAAAGGGCCTTTAAACTATCACAGAGAGACTGAACGGTTCCAGACTTTTCTGTGAGGATCTTTTAGGAAGTTTCCCACGAACAGGAATTCAGTGACCAATGAAAGTACAGAGAATTATTGAAGTGAAACTTATGGACATACAGTGGGTCAGGGGACAGAGCAGCTTATTGATGCCACACTTACATGGATCCCAGACATGTTGAGGGGATGTGGGCAGCAGGTGTCCTTGGGCAGGTAGCGGTCACTGTTCAGCTTGTACCATTAGAGCTGTGACAGAAAAGACAGACGTTAGACAACGGAAACTTCCCTCTCAGATGCTGTAATCTTACACTTTAAAAAACTTTGATACAGAAGTACACAGAGAAATCTGACACACACACACACAAAGTGAAAACAACATGCAAACATGTCATCTTGCTGTAAGGCTATAGCACCAACCACTCTTCCCACGTGTGGCCAGAACTTCCTGTATTTGAACAAATCAAACGTTCAAACTAAAATACTCGCTAAACCTCAGTGTAGCTTCTTGAATTTACTGTCGACTCAGCATTTTAAGGTCATCAACAAAAAACCAAAAAGCGCTAAATTAATTCTGACTCCGTAGAAGCCGGTCTGCCAGTGTTTTTTGTGATTTGTTATGACTTGCAGTCACGCTGAATGTTGGAAATGATGTGGCTGTAAATGAGCAGAAGGCATCGCTGTGTCATACGCCAAGTCTGTACAGTCCAGCCACTGTGCTTCTGCAGCCAATTACTAATCTCTTAAAAATGACCTTGATCCAGTGACAAGGAGGAGAGAGGGAGAAGAAAAGCGAGGAGCAGAGACAGGAGGACAGACGGAGAGAGAGAGAGAGAGAGAGAGCATGAAGAGACTAAGATTTGAGACCATGATGATGTGTTTTTATTTTTTTATTTCCATGTGCAGCTGGGTACATGTGCGGTAGAAAGTGTGTATAATTATGTCCAGGGTGTTGGTGTATGTGTGTGTGCGTGTGTGTGTGCCACAGGAGGGTGTGTCACGACATAGTTGCCTCCATCTTCTCATATTTATGTTGCTCTGGGTTGTACTTTATATAGAAAATAAACAGGGTGAATGCTTTCGATGGCCCGCAGTCTTTAGTGAGACTGATTCACACAGAGCTGCAGTAGAAACACACGGATCAGGGCGTGCAACAATCAACCTTAGGGCTAAACACACAGCCGTTACACACACACACAAAAAAAACTGTTGTTCTGTTTTGTTCCTTATGTTTCGTGTCAAGTCCTAAAATAGAAAGACAACAACAACAACAAGAAGAAGAACTTAAAGAAATCTGCAAACGTAAGCAGAAATAAGAAAAGTGCTTTTTGTGCATCTTTGATTAATTGTTTTCCATTTCTGCTCTGTAGATACTATATATACTATATATACACTCAAAAATGTACTCAGTGAGCAGCTATGAGGTTAAAGAAAGTGGACAAAAGTTCTCGCGGTCAGTTTTTTGTTATTCCATGTTCATAACTGTAGAAGAACAGGGCAGTCCGGCCTCGGCCTCCTGTTAAAGTAAGTGACTTCCGACCAGCTCAGACTACAGGAAGCTGAAAAGGACAGGAAGGTAAAGAGGAAGGAGGAAGTCGCTGACACATATTTTCCAGTGTTTCGTATGAGGCTGGGAGGGCGGGCCTGTAGTTGCGCACACACACGTCTGCTTTAGTCACCGACTCCCTCTGGACCGAGAAACTCATACTTAATGGAGTTGGTTCACAACAGATCAATGAATATGGAGAAAGAAACGCCACACACACTGAGAATAATCCACCACTCAATTATGCTAACAGAACAGACCATTTTTAACCTTCACGTCGCTCCAGAGTTGTCCTGCGTGTCTGTGGTGTTTTTCTATTTTAAATATTTATGGAGTCCTTCTCTATTGATGTTTTACAGTACGCTGGTTGTTTTCCTCGATCAGTCCAGAAGAAACTCGGCGTACCGTGTGATTTCTGCTCACTCTGTGACAGCGTCTACGGCCGAGCTTCAACGTACCGCCGTGTCCTGCATTCAAACAGGAAACGCCATAATTGCAGACCATCGCGGAGCTGTATGCAAACTGACAGAGTCAAAAATAAATGCAAGGCCGGGCCGCTGTTGAGAACGGGCTCCATTCTCTCGACACTTTTATTAAAGCCTACAACGGAAACAGAGAAGCCGCGCTAAAGGAAGAGACACCAAAAGGACAATAGGAAAGACGGGGAGAACGACTCCGAGTGCTCGTCAGTGCTGATAAAGGCCCGTCAGTTTATCAAGAGCTGCAGCTCTTCAACTTAGTCGAGTCGAGTGACACTTGGCAGGATCAAAACCAAATTCTATCATTTTTATAAGTTAAAATGTTGAGTCTTTCAGCAGAAACAACTGAAGCTCTGTCCTCCGTCTGCACCTCAGCTCAGGGTTTATCAACTTAAAGTGAGGCAGTGGAATAAAGGAGAGCGAAAACCTCGACTCAATAATCACTACAATCAATATTTACATAAACGCTGGACTAGTTTGGTGAGTGCTCCTCTCCCTACAGGTCCAAAACAGATCGGAGGTTAATTTGTCACTTCAGCTAAATGTTCCCAAACTTCCGGCCCGTGGGCCCGCATTTGGCCCCCAGCTAGGTGTCAGTCCAACATAACCTGACCCTTGATGTTAGTTTTTGGCCCTCCAATAAGATGGCATAAGAAATTATGTCTCAATGTATAATATTATATTATATAATATATTATATAATATATATATTATATTGTATCACAATATTCTCTCTCTATATAACAGTGAATATAATAAACTTATCAGTACCAGGTACTGTATGAGTGACTAGGAATTTATTCTGATTAAATGATACCTCTAACTGGTTAGCAGTAACACCCTACTGGTACAGAGTTACTGTACTGTAGTCTAATGAACACAAAACTAGCATCACAACGTGTATTTATACCAAGATTAAAGATGGACTGACTCATTTACTGCCTTCATTTTAGAGTTCTTAAATCTCTTTACACAGTAGAGGTGACCCATCAGAGCATGTGAGTACTGTTTCAGCTGAGAGATACCAGATGTGCCATACACTGGGGACTCTCACTTCCTTCCTTCCTTCCTTCCTTCTCCACTTCCCTCCTCCTAATTTACTCTCTGTGCCGCAGCAGCTGCTGTTGACGGTGTCATGGCAACACCTCACATGATGCAACGCCAGTCTTTGATGTAGCACATCCCACTGTGCGGCGCTGCCTTCTCCTTTGACATGTCAAAGCAAAGCTGCACTGTTTGAGTCTTTTTAATATCCCTTCTATTGTGTGTCAAAACTAAAACAACTGTTTAACAAAGATCTTTGCACTTGTTTTGATAAAGTTACAGTGAGAAAAAAAAAACAACCTGCAGTTCTGCTCCTTTTTTTTTTAGACTATACCCTGTAAATATACAGTACTGCTTAAGTCGTAATGGTGCCCCCATGCTGCTGTGGCCCTGAGGCACATTTTTGGTATTCTGTGGGAACAGTTGCTGCAGTGCATCAACCACCATCCGGTACTTTTCAGTCAGCGTTCATGGCGAAGCACAGTCAAGGCAATATGACAGCTGTGTGTCTTCTCCACAAAAAGCTGGGAGTGACCTTGGTAGGTACAGTATGTTGGAGATGGTACAGTAGGTGTGAAGGTACGGTTAATAAGAGGAGAAACTTGTGGTCGTTAGCATCTAAACTTTTCTCCTCCAGGAGAGAAACGCCAATCAATTTGAAGCAGCCACAAATAGCATCACCAACCAAACTGCATTTAAAATATGAATAAACTCTGTACAATGTTAGTGTTGTATAGATTGTTTGATGCTAAATTCAATTTATTTCTGTGAGCTGTCAAAGGTGAACCTCCCCCTGACCCAGAGACTGCTGGGATTGGTTCCCCACGAGACTGAATTATTTTGAATACAGCAGAGAAAACAATCTCACATGGTCAAAGGAAACACATCCAGGGAAACTAATTTTCACGTGAACAGACAAAAGTGATGCTGCCTGAATGTGACCTGACCTTTGAAGACACACGTTGGTTTGGTTTTCGACAGCTGAATTGCAAAGTGTTGACACCTACGTCACAGTTATTCATTTCTTCTGTGAAAGCAGATTTTGTTCACTTGGTTTCTTCTCCAACTACTGAAATCAGATAGATTTCTTTTTTGGGAACAGATGTTCTGTCAGCATCCTTCACTCTGCACTGTATACACGAGGTCTGAAGACGGTGGAGACTGCTGCGGTGAAACGGCACTGTATACACGAGGTCTGAAGACGGTGAAACGGCTTTCACGAGCTCTTAAGACGTTTTAAACTGAGTCTTCGGTCTGAGGCTGGTCCAAGGACACGCACAGATTACAGAGCAACCATCGCAATATTTGAAGACATTCTTCAAATTCATTTTTACTGAACAAACTTGGCAAAGATTGGCATCTGTTTATGACAGACCCATCAAATCTCACCATCACATTTCAAGGCAAAGTAAATACAGAGGTGTCAGCAACTTTACAACTGCTGTTTTCTGGGAACGTAGTTTTTACTCAGCACTCAGTACACGGAATTTACTATGAAATGCACAGGGTGGGAAAAAATAAAAAATGGGACTGAGTATGGAAATGTGGCCTCGTGGATATGCAAACACAAAATACATGTGTGCAAAACAACTCTGGTCTGAGAGAAACACAACACAGTACTGCACATCACACAGAAGCCAAACTATTCACTGGTGCTGCAATGCAAATATGGCAGCATAACGTGAGCATTCTCATCCCTGTCGTCATGTTTGATAATCTGCACAATTTGCATTGGACCTGTGACACGTTTAACAATAAGTCAGCAGTGACTAAGAGTGAGCCGCAGCTACAACTTCAGGTTCAGGTAGTGACCGAAGAGGAGAGAACTGTGTGACAAGAACTTATACATCGGGACCAAGTTGATGTCAACGAGCAAAAAAAATAAATTGATGCTTTCGTCAGTACCCAGTATTCAACTTTTTTTAGGTGGATGGATGAAAAGCAAATTATAAATCCATAAAAACATGATCAAATAATAATGTTATTTTTGGGTCATTTAAGTTAAATAAACACATGGGATTTTATCCAGGTATTATTTGTAGGGTGGTTGTCAAAATGGTTGTCACAGAGGTAGATGATTACATTACATGATTCATGTCATAACCCTTAGTCATATATAGTAAAGATTTCAAAAGGTCAAAGGTTAGACACTTAGTTAATCATACTCAATCTTTAGGTCA